AGATCCTCGTCATTACAGCTGTGGCGACTACACACAAACCCACCATCACCGAGCCCACCATCACCACTGTCAACCACTACAAAATCAGATCGCCATTTCAAAAACCAACCTGTCAACCACTACCAACTCCATTGCACGCGACGCTCCCTGTTGCAGCTCCCAATGCGGCTCAGTGAAGGTGACGAGAGAGATGGGGACAAAGAGAAGAATGGAGATTGAGAAGTGAAGAGGAGGGATCGCCACATCGACGGTGGTGTCACAGCAGCGGCGCCATTGCTGCTATAGAGAGAGAAACGAGATGGGAAAGGAGGGTTAAAGAGAGAGAAAAAGATGGGATGAGAGAATTGGGGTTTGAGACGTGTGGTCGATGAATTTAGTTTTGAATTGTTATATTAGTAAAAATATTTATTTTAAATATATTAATTTATTAAGGTCATGTTTGGGAGGGATTAAATTTTTCTACAGTAAATCAATTCTCATTTTCAACCACGCATTCTTCAATAAAATAATATTTTTCATCACATCAATAATTTTTTTCTTCTTTTTCAACCACACATTTCCCATCATATCACTATTCAAAAATCAATTCTTCCCCCAAAAATTCCTCACAAACAAGCTATAAAAGTTGTAGTGTGCATACAGCTAACNAATATGCCGTGGAGTTACAAATACAGGCTCTGTTTGAGAGGGATTAGATTTTTCTACAGTAAATCAATTCTCATTTTCAACCACACATTTTTCAATAAAATAATATTTTTCATCACATCAATAATTTTTTTCTTCTTTTTCAACCACATATTTTCCATCATATCACTATTCAGAATCAATTCTTCCCCCAAAAATCTCTCCCAAACAAGTTCTAAAAGTATCTGATTTTTGAATAAGTAAACTTTGTACCTGATTTTGGAAATTGGATCTTGAAACATAGGGTTTGGTGTAATTTTCTCATGGAATTATCCTCAACATGATTTTCGAGGCCCAACAACTAGTTAGGATGGCAAAGCCTAATCTAATTAACCCAAGCCCAGCAAATGATTTAACCCATTTTCTGCGTTCCATATATATATATATCTATTCATTCCACTTCCACTTGCCCTTTCATTGTCTTTTTCCAAAATATTGGAAACCCTAGAATAAGGGTTTACTTCCAATGGCGTGCACGATCGATTTTAGGTCCCTAGACGAGGGATTCGGCGGCAAGACCTTCAAGCGAAAGAGAGCCGAACAAGAAGCCGAGAAGCTAAAGTTATTGAATCCCTCTCCTGAGGATGACGGCATGGACGTGGACAATGGGAATCCACCTCCATCGAAGAGACAGGCAGTTCCTTCTTCTGAAGATCCCAACAAGCCGTCGGCTTCGTCCTTCGGAAAGGCGACGTACGACGGGGTGATAGCGGGAAAGGTGTCAGGCCGCAAGTGGAAGCAGGCAAGGACGCGGCGGTCGTCTGCGGTGCAGGTGAGCAGAAAAGGAACGACATTTGAGCAGAGAGCGAAGGAGAAGGAGATAAAGAAAGCGTACAAGGAGAGAATGAACGAGCTGAAGGAGGAAATACGACAGAACAAACAGGAGAAACGGAAACAGAAAGAGGAACGTGAGAAGAAAAAACAGGAGAACATACTTAGGTCAGGGACAAAGCTTCAGAAAATTACAAATCCCAAGACTCTTAAGAAGATTGCCAAATCCAAGCAACGGAAGCTCCTCAAGGTCGTACCTGATGATGTTCTTAATGGTAGTAAGAGAACTAATAAGGATTAAAATTAACAGTTTCGTTTGTCTTGTTGCATTTTCATTTTGAGAATCTATGGATTCTTGGTTGATTTTCTATTGCGAATTGTTTTCCCTTAATGTTCCCACCAACCTCTTCTTTACTGCTTAATGAATAATTGTGTTCATTTTTTGTTTCACCCGGCTTCTATCTCAAGGCGAAGGCCATGACAATCGAATCAATGCTTGGGTAAGAAGAGAAAGTCTCTTTCATTTTCCAAAACCCTCGCGCATTTTGGTGTTTCCACATTATCAAATAAAGCAATATGCAATGAATTTCTTTTTTCACTGTATGGGTTAGTGTGAGGATTCTTAGTAGTGCACAGTGCTTGTGGGCGTAACATTTTTATGAGGTGCCCATTTCACTTATTTGTATCCATTTAATTACTAAACGCTAGACAGCTGCCTGCCTATGTCTGCGATTTGTAATGCTACATAAATAAAGCTTGCACTCAGGAGCTAGAGGCGTTTCAGTTGCTCTGATTGAAGAAAATGATCTGGTCGCTTTGATTCATGGTAGTGAATTCATCAGGTAGATGATAATGAACCCGAAATCAAGAAACTGTTTCTTTTCCCTCCTCTGTCTCAAGACAGGACCACGCATTTGCAATGCATTCCACTAAATAATACGCCCATCAACTAATCATAATAATACAAAAAAGTGTGAATTCATAAACATAATCAAGAGAGTTATGCTGAAATCAATTCCTTCCTCTTTCCCTCAATCTCTTGCATCTCATACTCACCACTATCAATAAATTAAATATTAATAAACCGTACTATTGATACATACATTGTTAAACATCAGAATTTACGATCATTGCATAACATTTTCAGGAATATATTCTTTCTTGACAAAGCACAGCATCAAATTAGCAAGGCCATCGATCAAACAGAGAAAAAGAAAGGTGGTCTTGCAGAAAAATTGTAAGTATCCACATCATGGGTCTGTCATTGTAATTTTCACAACCAACAAGATTTAATTGGTTCTGCATTCGATTGTCAATCCTAAGCCTCCATTGATGCTCTGCTTACGCCTAGGATTTTGAGGAATGCCTCACACAAACTAGATCATCCAATTTATTGCCATCCATTTTGTACATCGAGACACCTTCCATCTGAATAAAATGCTCCCGAGCTGCTTTTCTTAATTTTTCAAAAGGCATGACTTCCCATTTACTGTAATTCGAATTCCTCCTGACATCACTCATATCTGGAGATCCAGAGGTAGACCCGCTTCCATGAGCATTGCCCCACACTTTACAGTTATGGAATTGACCCAAGTCACCGTCTTCACCAGATTGATTCTTCTTCACGCGCACAGCAGCTGCATGAGCTCTGCTTATCATTTCTCGAGTAGGCACATCTGACCAGTCCTGCTTCCTTTCAGCTCGCATGGGAGAATGGATCCTAATAACCTGAAAGTTTTATTTTCCTTGTTAAGCATATATAATACTGAATTTTGGATATTGAACAAGACATATACATTCCAAGAAAGCTCTTTGGTCTTCTATTCACAAGAGAAAAGGTTCAGGAACAAAGTAATATCCTTACACCAAGGCATTCTAAAAGCTGGTAGTAAGCCCTTCCTTGAAGTGGATTGTGTCCTTTCCTTGGTGTTGAGAAGTATCTGGTCCTACATATGCAAAATTTAAACACGTGCAAACTTCATTAGTTAGTGTCATAAAATAGATAGAGTGCCAGAACCACCAGAACAATAATAAGTAAACTACAGTTTTGAAATTGTGAGCAGGAACTTTATGATATGCAAATCATATAGGCAAGGTTAAACTGACCACTCAGTGTATCCTGGATCAACAGTGAAACCATATATATCAACAACTTCACACATGGAAAGTGCCAGTTCTATTGATTTCATTCCAGTTCCTTTGGCACCTCTGCGAAGTACAATACCTTGGAAGAGATACACTGGATTTGGGATCCTCTGCATCAAACACACAATAAATTGTGAGCCTAGACATTCAAGACATATTTAAGCACTAAAAAACTCAACTTCTAATTGAAACTCATAGAGTTAATATTGATTCCAAAAAAACTACTTTTTCTTTGTTAAGAAGCAAGTTTCGTATTCAATGCACAAAAGATCAGCTTTACACATTTTCTATATCATGTATAATGCCACGTTGTTTCTCTTGTTCTCCCGTTTTATCCACTTCAACAAAAATTTAAGCATGTCGAAAGGCTCCATCACATGGATTTTAACTTTCTCAAAGTCTCAATAATAAGAACAGTTTATCATATTCCAAAATCATTATTGGCAATTTCATTGAAGATTTTATCTGTACGAAGAAAGCAACTGAAAATGTACAAGCTCATCACATCTAGATTCTGTTAAAGTTTTTTTTGAGAAGCAAATACGTAGTAGACTCTTGAGCTAAACTTGAACTGTGACCAAATTCTAATGTGGAGTTTCATTCCACTCAGAACCAAGAAAAATTGCTTATGTTATTACTTGAATGCGAGGTCCTGCTTTTAAGATCTACATCTTAAGAATTTCATTTGCTCTTTGTCTTGTATTGTCTAGGTAAGACTTCATGTAATGGATCGATGCCAAATGCCAACCCCAACCCCCAACCAGAGAAAGGGATTAACTTATATGTACAAAGTCAAAGTGAATGGGAGCGGCAAGCTTCATTCATTTTACGGTCTTATAAATTGTTTACAAGAACATACGAACTAATGGTACTGTCACGACTCATTCCCTCTGAGAATCTCATCTTGATTATTGATCATTCAGAGAAAACATTAATCATGCTTATGATCCTCATAATAATTACCTTTATCATTGCATTAAAGTCTCTATGCGTAAGACTTTTGATTATAAGCACCTCATCATCTGCAAGAAAAGATATAAGAGAGTAAGCACAGCTAACTATCACATATAACGTTGCAGCAAAATTTCCTTTCATTGCCTTCTTATTTCTTCTCTTTTCCCTTAAGAGGACTTCTCGTCACTAAGACGGCTCAACATGAAGTTTGAATTATATTTGATCAGGGTAGCTAGCATCTCTCAACAACTAATCTTATAAAATGGCCACGATGGAAACCAAAATATGCAATTAGAAGATCAGTAGTTTTAGTAAATAATAATAGCAAATTAAGTAGTTACCATATCAAGGTCAAACCCCTTTAGTCTATGGTGTCATCCGATGTTTTCATATAACCCTTCCTTTTAGTTCTAAGATTAAGTTTCCTTGCCAAATACGATGAAGACAAATAGGCGCACGAATAGTGGGAAAGCGTGACAGACTAGGAGGATGTGGAGGAGGATAATGTAAACAAAGAATAGCAAAATAATAGAGATGAAGAGTGTGTTTGGGACACATTCTTTTGCAAGAATGTATTATTGAATAGTAGATTGATGGAGAATGTGTGGTTAAAAATGAAGGAAAAGTTATTGATGTGATAGAAAATATGATTTTATTGAAAAATGTGCGGTTGAAAATGAGTAGCAAAATGAGAATGAAAAAAATAATGTATACCAAATAGGGCCGAAATATTTCAGACTAATAGACACTGATATAACTTACCTGAACCATTGAGAATGGAAATCATGTTACGCGCAGCACCCCTCACTACAAGACGAAAATCTCTCTTCAGCCCAACATACTTGCTATATTTCTGTAAAGCATGGACAGAGAAGAAATTATAAAGTAATTCTATAAGACATTCCAAACACCTTGTGAAAAAAAAAATTAATTAAAATAAAATAATATACGGTAGCTGAATAGTTCAAAGAATGTAACCAATGAAGCAATACAATAAACAAATTATATGAAGCAAAAACAAAATTTTCATTTTGTTTAACACACCAAAAGTCAAAATCATTCTGCTTTGAGATTACAAATAAATGATAATCGAGTTACAAGGTTAACCACATTCAGAGAACGCAAGAATCAAATCTCATTGGCTTTGACATAATGTACGATAATAGAATTTTTTGAATCATAGAGCTCGTGGGTGCACATGTGAATGATAATAGAACTTTTTAAATTGCAGAGCTCGTGCGTGTGCATGTGAGCAGGCACGTCAAATCTCAATGGCTGTGACAAAACATACGATCAAAAAACTTTGAAGAGCCCACGCTGCATGCAATCGCACATGCGTGCACACACTCAGAGAGAGAGAGAGAGGGACAAGAATCATCTATGACAGAAAAACCAGCATAACAATAATGTACCTCATTAACAGGGGCTTCATTGTCTCTTATAACTGCATCATGGCTATCGATTTCCTTTCCAAACTCTGTCTTTAAGAGATCTCCTGAATTTCCAACAACGGCACAAGTTCGAAATTGGTGGGGATGGAAGGGTGGCTTTGCTGGTAAAAGAATATTAAGATGTTCCTCACACAAAGTAAGATTATAGCACTTGTCTGCACCTCTGTAATAATAAAATGAAACAGGAGAACAATAAAAAGCGGGAACGAAAATATAATTCAACTTGAAAAATGCAGTACTTAATGGCAATAATAATTCAAAGAAAAGGAGGTTGTCCCATACAACTGTGCTATCCTTTTTGCTGCATAGTTTAACCACCCGTCAGGCCGAGTATCTAAATACTCTCTTGTCAACACTGTAGTCATGTTACGATACTGCATTTCAGATAATCACTGCTTATTTTATGCAATATGAAAGCAAGTATCTTGATGAATGACAATAATATCAATAACAAAAACAAACCTGTTCCCACAATAGTATTGCTTCACAAACATCATACTTGTACTCCAATGGCTCAAAGATTTTAAACTGTTCATTGTACTGCAAATAAAATCCAAGAAATAAAAAGGCCATATAAGAACTAGATGTGCTCTAGGAGAGGGAATAAAATTGAGCAAGTGAAAAAGAGACAAACCCAGGTACTGTTAGTCCCCTGAGGGAACTTGAGAACCAAATTACAATGATCAATTATGTGTGCAGTGAGTCCAAGCCCTCTGTTCGCCTAGAAGAAAAATCCAAGTATAAAAGCAATTATATTCGCCACTTGTTAATAGCAGCGAAATACTAATAATTCATGAAACAAACAGATTCAATAAAAAGCAAGCATAAACTCCATGCTCCAGATTATAAAGCAGCAGATCAATCAAATCAAAAGTAAATAACTAACCACGCATTGTTGAACACTGGACTGAAAATCAGATAAAATCCGAACATCCTCCTCGTTGATTTTAGAATGGTTACCTGAAAACACAGAAACAATGAAGCATAAAAAAAATCGAGTATGGTTAATGAGGCAATTGGAGATAATTAACAAGTACCTATGAAGAAAGAGGACTGTACGGCCAAAAGGAAGAGAGAGAAAATGGCAGCAGCAGAGAGCAGATAAAGTAGGCTGGGTCTCCTCGCCGGTTTTCTCAGAGCTCTCATATTCTAATATCCTTTCAGCGAAGCAAAGGAACGAAGAACAAAGTTAGATCGGAATCAGCTTCTGTGCCGATCTGTGCTTATAACTGTCGGGCAATTTGGCCAAATAGCCGGTAGGAGAATGTATTTGAAGATATGGCCTCTGGCCAACAATAAAAGAAAAGGAAAAAA